TTCGTTCTTTTTACTAGTTGAAATACGCATATCAATGGAGTCTTCAGTATTGAATTTTGAATATATTGTGGAAGATCCAAACTGTCTGTGAGTTTCAGATACATTATATATCATATGCATTTACCATTAGTGTAGGTGAAGTATAAGAAATCTGCTTGATGTCTATTGCGAATAAGGTAACGGGACTTTCGTCAAAAGAATACAAGGGTCCATATATTTCAGCGGCTATTTGATATAATTTTCATGTTTAGGACAAACACCACTATAATTCTTTGGTTTCTATTTCATTTTGTTTATTACTGCTCTCGAAGTTAGAGATTTAGGTCTATTCCGGCTAACTCATTTAACGCCGCCTTGCAGGTGTGGAAGAACTATGTCTGTGACATTTCACCAAATGGCATTTGTGTTACTACTGGTCGTCTGACTCCGACGTTCTACAGTCAGATGGCCGCTGGGTTAAATATAAGCTATGGCTTGTATAGATATGGTCCTTTCCTTGTTGATTTACAAGACTGCACTTTTGTAAGACAAACGTTCACAGACATAAACCGAATATATTGTCCAGGCTTGAGACGATATAGCAGTTGGATTTATATCGGGCTAGTAATGGTTGCTACTGCAGTTATGCTCTCGCTACTTTTCTGGGTAATATACGGAAGGGAGAGAAAACACCGCGTTTATACGAAAGAGCATACGCCCAGATTCACTGAAGGCTATGAAGGTGACAAACCATAGACATACTTTAGATGAAAATAGTATGGATTTCTTCATTTTCAAATAATAATGTGTCTTAGCCTACCCTGTTTTCTAGTTTCATATTTCATGAGTTGTAAATGTTATGGTAGTTTGTATTGCTAATAGACTCTAATAATTTTTTTCTCAACTCAACTATTAGATATTATAAAAGATAAATAACAGTTAAAACACTGATGACATGACATATTAATTCGATGGTGGATAATTTTACGTTGGACTTTTAAGATTTAAATTAAATTCGTTATTCATCAATAAACTGATATCATGTCTTCGATACAAGAGTATTTATACTAATTGATCATTTATCGGGTTTAAATGGCCTAAAATCAACATCGACCACCAATGCTACCAGTGACCCGGAAGTTTAGTCGGTCATCGTGCAGATTGTGTTTCTTAGTTATGATCTGTGTACAAAAAATGAGTTTTCTTATTCGTTAATATACAATGAGACTCACTTATCTTCTACCATCCATAAGGATGATAATGACTTGATTGTCAAAGGGAGAGGGAGGGAGTGATCCCGTCCCTTTTTCATATAATTGGGAGGGTGGACAAATTAAATTTCTGATGATTATTCAAATTTTCGTGTATAATCGTGCTTGTGTGGAAGTGATTTCTTGAAAAGTAATTTTTCCGAGAATGGATTGCTAAATTTATTATTTTATTTTTTTGAAAAACGTGTTGTTGAAAATTTGTGTGGGAAAAATGGTACGATCTTACATTAACATTCTTATTATCTTTCGTATATAAATAAATTTTTAATATTGAAATAGCAGGCGAGAATTATTTTACCATTGCAGGCGAAAACAATCCTTGTAAACTGTTTCTTGTACACATTTTTCGTCTTTTAGATAAATTTGGGTGCCACTTGTATTTCTAGTTGGCATCAAAACAATTTAATCGTTGTTATATAAATATTATCAATTATGAAAGGTACACTAAGCACTTTGTTGATGACTATAAATTATATGTACATCCTAACACGTTAAAAGTCAGCTTAATTGTTAGTTAATTTTGAAAAGTCGTACATATGACACCTACAATTATTGTGGTATTAGAATACCCAAAATCAACATTAATGATAGGAGTATTACCCAGGACTATTGATTTGTATTACTAAATAATATTGAATGAAACGATGAATAAAACTTATTTTACTTTTCTTCTTCTATTTAGCGTATCCAACTCAAGATATTAAATATGTAGCGTACATGTTTTGTTCGTAGTACTGAACGTGAATGTACAGTACGATTAGACATGTTTATTAATATCCCATCCTCTTTAGTAATGTGTCATAAGTGTGTTATATTAATTTAAGCAAGTGGGTATAAATTATAATGTACGAATATCGTAATATGGTTGATCCAACCAAGAGTTAATATTAATTTAAAATTGACTTAGAATTTTTAACACCTTTTATGGACCTTGTTGCTAATAAAAACGATATAATAATTCCTAATTGAAAGCCTTTTGTGTATTCTTCTAGTAATAGCATTTCATTACATTAGTAATGTGCAATATAATTGAAGAGTAATTGATAATATGAAATTGATTTTGTCTAGTTCAATAATCATTCATCGAGTTATTGACAGTGAATTTCCAAACTTCACGTATAAAATGTGATACGATGAAATAAAAATAAGTTTAGAAATTTGAAATTTTTTTATTAGGTGGGTTCAAAGAATCGAGAACAATTTTGAGTGAATTCAATGATTTATGACTACGAAGGTTTCGACCTTCCTTCTTTCAGGACCCACCAAAAGAGTAGTTATAACTTATAACTTATATATGCTTTAACAATTAATTCTAATAATATATTTCACAATTTTTATTAATTTTTCAAACATATATTTCATTAACTTCGATCAAAATTTACTAAAAATTTAAATATTAGCTAAAATATTCACTCGCTAACTCCTTATCAAAAGTGATTTTTATCGATCACAATTATTCATGACAGATGATACTTTCCCTTCATCTTTCTCCATGAATCCCCAAATGATATTCATTGAAATACTCAGTAAATATGAAACTCTCACATTAAATCAGAACTGCCAAATCCAGATCTAATAAGCCCAGAAATTTCTTGAAAGCGGCAGCCAACCTAACTTAGCCAGAGCCCCACTAGAGTAATTGTTAACGCGTAAGAAATTAACAACAAGGAGTCCAACCACCCAACCAACGACAATGCAATCTTTTCTTAATCAAATCAGCTGTCATGAAAACACAAAAAGGTATTTGAGAAAATAATAGTTGAATAAATAAATTTTCCTTCTTCAATTTTTGTTAATGTCTTAATTTTAAAATTCGATTTCCGACAATTAAAATCTTAAACAAAAGTCAGTGAGATCAAGCTGTCAATGCATCAGTCATTTGACTCATTTCCTTGCTTTCTTATCCTTCTCTTACAAGAAAACTTTCTATTAGCACAAAAAGACTACCTTTCTAAAAGATGGTGGCGACCACTTCCTTAAGCAAGAATTTAGCTAGGGTTTGATTTCATACATTTTTTGACCTTTATTCTAACACACGTCACGTTGCTAATGGTGATGATATTCCCGAGAAAATTTTGTAGACCCGTGTTGCTTGTCTATTGGTCATTAAGTTCAACGGATTTTTTGTTTGAGTCTTGGGAAAAAGCTTCTTGTACGCTTCCTTTCACAGCATTTTAAAAATGCGGACATGGCGTCAAGAGGCGGGAAATTTTCGAAAAAAACTGGGACTAGCTGGAGGCTCGCTTTACCGGTTTACAACCCGGCCCATTTGAAAGCAACCCATTTCTCCTCAAACTCCCGCTAAACAGCAACCCATTTCTCCTCGAAAATTAGCTAAAAACGAAATCCACAAATCAATTTCCCAGCTTCGAAGAGCACCTCCGTCGCGACTGGTTAGGGAACGGGGAAAAAGGCATAAGTGCTGTGAAATACTGAACCCATTTCTCCTCGAATTGTGCCTGAAAATAAAATCCCCAAATCAGTACACCCGGCTTCGAAGACCTCCTCTCTCGCGATTGGTTCCGGAAAGGGGAAAAAGGCATAAGCACTGTGAAATACTCGGTCCGGCTTCAAAGACCTCTAATCCTGAAAATTGTCTTTCTCCGTTCCCGGTTAGAGATTCTTTCTCCAACTTTGGGTTTTTATTTTTTTGGTTTCTCCATTGGAGATTGTATAAGAAGAAAAGGAAGCTGCAGTAATGAAATATAGAAAGAATATGGTTGGTGCTTTGAACCGTTCAATGTCTCTGTTGCCTATTTTTATAGAGAAGGAGAGGAAGATTGTTTATATATTGAATGAGACATTATGTAAAAGTTTAAAAAAATTAGTAAAATTTGCAGTTAATTTTTCTATATATTGAAGTATATATAGGTTTGTCTATCTCGAAATCAGGCTAAAAAAATGTTGGAATAGCTACTATACATGGTTTCCATTCAATCTAAAGGTATCTTAATTCAGGGGGATGTTGAGGCTGCTGATTAATCATCTGTTTAAGTTCCTTATCCTCTGGAGAAGCTGGTATAATAATCAGATTCATTAAAGTAAAATCGAACACTTCTCTCCAGTCCCTGAGTTTATTTGGAAGCTTAGTATCGTAATATCCCAAAGCGGCTGTCTTCATCTTTGCTTGAATGCTCTCTGTATTTGGAAATTGAATGTTTGTCCTAAAATGATGAATAAGTAATGCTTAACATTTGACTTTGTTGATTACGACGCAGGAAAAGAAATAATGGAAGTATTGGATGATGAAGTACTCGTAGAATCCGACAATGAGAACTTGATGGACAATGTAATCATGTTGGAAGATGATAATGTTGGAGGGGATGCTACAATTGTGCCGGAGGTGGGTATGAAATTCAATGATGAGAAAGAGTTGTTTGAATTCTACAAAAAATATGCGTACGAAGTAGCTTTTCCTGTACGAAGAAGAAATTCCAGAAAGTGCAATGATGTAGTGACGTACGTCGCATTGACTTGTAGTCGTGAGGGACAACAACGCTACCAAAAAGGCGCTTCTTTGAAGCCACAACCAACAATTCAAATGGGTTGCAAAGCGAGGATAACTGCTTCCTTAGATGTTCGTGGAATATGGAGAATTTGCACGGTTGACCTCGAACATAATCATAAAATAAGTCTGTCGAAGTCGAGGTTGTATCGATGCAACCGTGAATTGAGTGAACATGTAAAACGAAGGTTAGAAGTGAATGATATGGCTAGAATTCCTTTGCATAAGAGTTACAATTCTGCAGTGGCTGAAGCTGGTGGGTATGAGAATATGACTTGCATTGAAAAGGATTGTCGAAATTATGTGGAAAAAGTGAGGCGATTAAGACTAGGCGAAGGAGATGCCATGGCAATACAATCCTACTTTTCGGAGATGCAAGCACATTCATCTGGGTTTTATTTCTCTATGGATCTGGACGAGTAGTCACTGCTTAAGAATCTTTTCTGGGCCGATAATAGATCTAGGCAAGCATATAAGGAATTTGGTGATGTAGTGACATTCGATACCACTTACCTAACTAATAAATATGACATGCCTTTTGCTCCTTTTGTTGGAGTAAATCATCATGGACAGTCGATACTGCTTGGATGTGGGTTGCTGTCAAATGAGGATACAGATACATTTGTTTGGTTGTTCAAAACATGGATGTTGTGCATGCACAGTAAAGCTCCTAACGAAATTATTACCGATCAAGACAGGGCTATGCAGAATGCAATTAAAATTGTGTTTCCAAATACAAGGTATAGATGGTGTCTGTGGCATATATTGAAGAAGTTGCCCGAGAAATTTGGATACCACGTGGATAAGAGCTCCATTTTTTCGTGCATACATAGAGTAGTGTATGACTTACAGTATGTTGAAGAGTTTGAAAGAGGTTGGGAATTGATGATTGATACGTATAACTTGTACGACAATGAATGGTTGTCTGGTT